AGGTTCTACACTAGCTGCCATACCTGAAATCTCTTAGAAGATTCCCTATTTAAACTCTCTGGCCCTATCTCACTTACCGAAAGTACTACTCTTTAAGTTAAACCCATAACCCCGTGCTACTCCACTTTGGGAGGCACCCAAGCTGACATTTGTCGCAAACTTTACTGTTATGGGCCTAGGTCTTACCCGAATAGGTCCCACTACAATGCCCTCTAACAGATGGGTGTCATGATACCTAACTATGCTATGCTATATCCCAATCTAGCTTGTATATACCCTTATTCGATGTTCGTACAAACCCGGTTTCTTCCGTGGCTGTCTACCAGATTAGACTTCTTTGTATTTTTGAATGTTTCGCGAAGCAGATCCTCCTAATCTAGTTAGCTGCCAAGCCAAGTTGGTGTTGCCGTAATGCCTAGTGTCATGGACTTACTCGCACCTACTCGATCACATCTTCGTACTCAGAGATCTTCACGGATCAGGTGTTAACTGGTGTAACTGTTGAAATCCGTACTACTTCATCTAACTCAGGATTTCTACCATGCAGGTTCTCTGCCCATAGATCCTATCTTGATTTATTCGTGTAACACAACTCCATCATTCCGTCACACTACCAATGTTCAAACAACATTAGTGCAACGTGATTTACAGGGTTACAACCCCCAGAAATGGACAGAGTTTACCATAAGTTGGATACAGATGTCTAGGTAATTATTCAATTCTGTCGATAATGGGATTTGAACCCTAGACCTCTTGTATAGTGGTCTGACAACCTAACTACTTCACTAGATCACCAGACTAATAACGATAGTTTTTTATAATTGTATAATATAATTTAATTAGTATAAATATATAATATTATTATTTATTATTATGTGAAATTATTATTTTATTGTTATATTTTGTTATAATATTATTATTATAGTGTAATATTATTATTTATTATCATTATCATTTTTTTGCAAAATGCAATAATTTGTATATTATTATGTATAATTATATAATATTATTATTTAGTGTAATAATTTAATTAAATCAAGTTTGTACAATATATATTATTATCTTTATACATATTAGTGTAAATAATGTAAAATTTATATTATTTTAGTACACCTATATTTAAATTGAAATTGATTCTTATTTGTTAATTACTGTATATTATTAATTGTAATTTATACTAGAAATAATAATCTTCTGCAGTAATAAATAGGCAATTCTATCTGTAATAAGTTCGAATTCTGCAAAGCTCCATAAATTGAAATTATAAAATCTGTATATTACTAACTTATGCATTAAAATTTATAATTTTCATGTTATAGTAAAAACCTTAAGCATTCTGTGTTTATTCTTCAGATTATTTTAGATATATTCATCTTTTAGATTTATTTATTTTTTATATCAGAACTTGTATATATACTATAAATCTCTACTTTTTGCAATATTATTGTAATAATTACTACTTTCTGCAATATTTTTGTGATACTTTTGATACATTCAGTGATTACAATTAGAATTTCAAGATTTTGTAGTATTTCGTGAAATGCAGAATATCATCATCTCTAATTTGTATATACAATATTTAAATTATTAATATTTATTGTCTGACAGTAAATATTTTTTAAATAATTAATTAATATTATAGTAAGTATAAATTGTATTACATTAAATTAAAATATATATATATATAAATACTGCTATATTAAGGATAATTCTATAATTTTGCTTATTACTATAGCTAATATTACAACTTATTCTAAGACCTGACAAACTACTTTATCATTTACAAATAATGATAATTCTAATATACTAGATATTTCTGAAAAAAATAAAGATTACTATTCTAATAGTAATTATGTTAGTACTGAAAATAAGCTTGATGATATATTAGAAGAATATACTATCTATAGATCTAATACAGAATTGGAATCTTTTAATAATAATTCTGGTTTAATTATTTTATTATCAAATATTAATCTTAATTCTAAAAAAAGAAATTTACCTGTTTCTACAAAAAAAAAAAAAAAAAAGAGCAACAAAAACTAAGCCAAAAACTAGTTATGTTTAGAATTATTTTAAAGAAACTTCATATAATATTACTACTTGTCAATTAGTAGGTTGTGAACAAATACTTGCTTATTATTATAGTACTACTGCTATAAAAACACATCTCTCAACTCATCATCATATTACAAAAGCTACTGTTGAAAAAAGTTAAGATTCTTCTACTTCTCAACAATTGTTAACAAAAGTTTTAAATAATATGTCAAAAACATTTTATAGTACAAAAAAACAAAAAGAACTTAATCAATATTTAGTTAAATTTATTGTAGGAACTGTTCAACCTTTACAATTAGTTGAAGCTTCAGATTTTATTAATTTTTGTTATCAGTTAGATTCTAGATATCAGATTCCTTGTAGAAAAACTTTAAAAGATGAAATAGATTTTGTTTATCACTATATGGTTGAGCAAATAAAAGAATTAATTAATAATAGTGCTAAGCATGTTTCACTTACTTTAGATCTTTGGAGTTCAAAAGCATATATTCTATATTTAGGTATTACATGTCATTAGATTTCTTAAGATTTTGAATCTAAAAATATTCTTTTAAGTATTGCTGAATTACCATATCCACATGAAGCTTCTCAAATTTTAGAACATATTAAAAATTTACTTAATATTTGGAATTTAGAATTAAAAGCAATTTATTTTACTATAGACAATGCTCTTAATATTAAAAAAGCAATTAAAGATCTTGGAATTGGAACTCAAGTTTCTTGTGCTGCTCATACTTTGCAATTAAGTATTAATAAAGAATTAGAAGAACTTAATGAACTTATTGAAAAATGTAAAAATATTATCAAATTTTTAGCTAGTGATAAAAAAAGATAACAACTTAAAGAAGCTCAATTATATCTTCAACAACAAACATCTTAACAAATATCTATATTATTAGAAAATACTAATATTCAAAATGAAAATAATAATAATAATGAAGAAAAAGAAGCAATTTTAGATATTATTAAAGCAAATAATACTAGATAGAATTTTATATTTTATGCTTTTGAAAGACTTTTAGTTTTAAAACAAGCAATTATTACTTTAAAAAATATATTACTTTCTGATAAAAAGACTAGTATTCAAAATGAAAGTACTCTTTTAAGTTCTTTACTTCTAACAAATCTTGAATAGCAAATAATTGAAATACTTACATCACTTCTTGAACCTTTTGAACAAATAACTTGTTTAATTAGTGGTACTAAATATATTACTTTTAGTGTTATGTATCCAATTATGATAGGATTACTAAATCAACTTGCTAATGAGTTTTCTAAAATTAATAATAGAAATATTATTAATATTAAAAATATTATTCAAGAAGATATGAGTTCAAGATGGGAGTTTGCATATGAATTAGAATTATATAGTTCATTTTTTGATATTAGATTTAAAAATTTAAATTTTGTTTTAGAGCAGGTAATATATAAAATTTTTAACTAATTTTTAATAAATTATTAATATATTATTTATTTTAAATTTAGGAAAAACAAGATTTTATTAAAACAATTCATACTGAATATAAAGTTTTATGTTCAGTTTTAGATATACAAATTAATCAACATATATTACCAAATTCTAATCAAAAAGAAATATCTATAATAGAAAAATTATTTGCTAAAAAAAATGCTAATATTTCTTTATTAATTAAAGATGAATTTGATAAATATTTAGAAATTTCAGAACTACAAGCTTTAGAAGAAAATAATCTATTAATTTGGTAAAAATTAAACAAAAATAAATATTCAATTCTTTTAAAATTTGCAAAAAAATATTTAGCTATACTAGCAACATCAGTTTTATGTAAACAAGTTTTTTCTGATGTTTGAAATTTAATTACACCTCAGAGAAATAGGCTAAGTAGCTATTTAGTAGAACAACTTATGATTATTAAAAGAAATCAAAATTTAGTTAAAATTAAATACTAATACATGATTTTAACAATTTAAAATTTATAAAAAAAATTAATAAAAAAATTTAAAATTTATAAAAAAATTATAAAAAAAATTTTAAATTTTAAAAAATATTAAAAAAATTTAAAAATTTAAAATATTAAAAAAAATTATTATTTTATTTTATTTTATTTTTAAATTATATATTGTATTAATTATTTCTATTTATTTATTTATTATTATTATTTTTACTTTATATTATTTTATTATTTTTTATTTATTATAATATATATTTTTTTAAATAAAATAAAATAAATATATTATTTAAATACTAAAAATAAATAATTCTATAAAAATAAATGTGATTTGATATAATAAACTTAATAATAATAATAATAATAATATTGTAATAATTTATTGAAGATATAAGCTAAGTTAAATTAATCATTTTTTTTTTTAATCTGATTAATCAATTAATTGATAAAGTTATCTGATTTTAAAATCGATTCCTATCCCTATTTTATTAGATTGCTATTATATATATTCTCCAAATATATTAATTATACTTTCTATAATATTACAATTTTTTAAAACTTTAATTAAAGATATATTGATAATATCTGATCAAATTTAATAAAAAATTTTTTATTCTAATTCTACATATTTGTAGAATTTAAACAAAAAATTTTCATCAAATTTGGTTTGGTAATTGCTGAGATATATTTGATTAAAGTTAGTAAACAATTAAAAATATCTATTAAAATTAAAATAATCTAAAGTTTTAAAACTTTAAACAAAGATATATCAATATTTACTTAATTAAATTTTATTAATTTTTTTATTTTAATTCTACTTTTTGTAGAATTCAAAAAAAGATTTTCATTGAAATTAATCAGATAGATATTAATATATTTTTGTTTAAAATTAGTAAATATCTATTAAAATTAATGCTGCATTAAAATTTTTTTAAAACTTTAAACAAATATATCTTAGCATTTATCTAACAAAATTCAATAAAATTTTTTTATTTGAATTTTACAAATCTGTAGTATTCATATAAAAAAACTTTATTAAATTTTATTAGGTAGATACAGAGATATTTTTATTCAAAGTTTTAAAAATATTTTGATATAGTATTAATTTTTAATAGATGTTTTGAATTGTTTACTAACTTTAAGCAAAGATATCTCAACATCTAACTAATTAATTTTAATAAAATTCTTTTGTTTAAATTCTACAAAACTGTAAAATTAAAATAAAAAAAATTTCTAAAATTTAGTTAAGTAGATATTAAAATATCTTTGTTTAAGGTTTTAAAACATTAAAGATCTTTTATAGTATAGATAGGCAATTAATAAATATTATAAAATAATAATAATTAATTGATTAAGCAACTCTTACCATAGATCATTTGTACCAAAACTTCTCAAAATCATTTTGTTATAACTAAATATTTTATTAAGTAAACAATCCTTAGACTACTAAGCAAAATTGTTCTACACAAAATTTTGCTCTAGGATAGCCTAGTTTTATACTTCTTGAATCTCTATATATAAAGTTACTCTGCTACAACTATTAAACAGTTTCTCTAGAAATTTCACAACAATTTACTAAGCTAATAGCTCTTGTTTACTAATAGAGTTATATCCAGCACACCACTGGCTTCATTTTGATATAAATTTCATTCAAAATGGACCGAAACTCAGCAAACAAGCCTCAAAAACCATCTTAAGGCTTTTTTCTAAAACTTATCTATTTTTTCTTTTTTCTCTCTTGTCCCTTCAAATCCAGGATTGGGTCACATGACAACCCAGCAAAAAAAATTACTAGTCAACCTAATAATTACACTAAATTCATTATTTCTTTTCTAAGTTATAATCAATTTAACACAAATTAATTAATTGCTTATTTTTTTCATCACTGAACAACTCTTTCTGATGATCACTTTTACCAAAAATTTCATAAAAATAAACGTAACTTTTTATATTAAATATTTTTTATTTTAAGTAAGATTTGTTAAAACTATATTGTTAATGAAGTGAAAAGTTTAGCTGAGATAACAGCACAAATAAGAACTTCGGTCTTCTACAGTTTTAGTAGAGGTCAAACTTTTTCTTCAGTAGACTCCTCTATACTATTTAGCATCTAAGCTAAAAGCAAAGGTGTTTCTAGTGGTATAACACTTTGGCAAAGAAGACTTATTATAGAAATTTGAAATATAAAAATTGCAACATACTTTCTAGATTATGAAGAATTAATGCTTATTCTTCCTTTGGATCCAACTTTACTCGATACTTTTCTGCTACACAAAAAGTAGAAATTTGGCTTATCCCCTTCAAAGGATCAACATTCATACTACTGTCAATTTAGGAATAATCATATTATTCTACTAAACAACAATAACATGTATATCTTAGCCAAATAGCAAGTTATACTTAAACATATGTTTAGGTTGGAGGTGCAAAGCTGGAGTATGTGTTTTATAACAACAAACTAGATTTAATTCAGAAATTGTTTATTATAAGAGATATATTTTAGTAGCTATTTCTATGCAACCTCTAGTTATAAATATACAATTTTTATATAGTATTCTGGAAGCAAGATACTATTCTTTTGTTTCTTTTTTCTTTTTATTATACTACAAAGTATTTTTTACATATTGTATATTTTCTCTTTGCAGTTTTATTATATGATACATAGCCTTAGTATCAACTATTATATATAATTTTTAATTTTTTTTATACCTTTTTGCTACATGAGAAACTATTATCAGTTTGGTAGTAGTCTATTGTATAGGCAAGAGTCATGATAGGCTGTAGTGTCTGCTCAAATTATTAATATTTTTTCAAAAAAATTAAATATTAATGAGGAGAAAGAAGATTACTATAGCAGATTACACATCAGTATCTATAGAGTAACTAGATGAGTTAATACTTAAAAAATTGTAGATTAGATATATAGAGTGCAGATTATTTCATAACTATATATTTTAATTTGTCTTTTGTTAAAGATATATTACAAATAAAATGTTGGCATAACTTGCTGAAAGATTAAAAAAAAAACTTATTTCTTTCATCTTTAATTAGTACTGCATTCAGTACTATTTAATCTATTTTTAACTCAGTACTACATACTTGTACTCCATACTATATAAGCAATACCTGACTTGTACTACACTAGCTACAAGCTATACTAGCTATACAGTTTTAAGTCACACAAGTTATACAAGTTATACAAGCTACTTACTATTACATAATACGAACTATACCTCTCTGAGAAGCTTTCTTTGATCTCATTATACCTGTATATACATATAGAACTTGATACTATTAAAATATCTACTTTAACTAGTGAAGTTCCAGATACTCTTGACCTAAGCTACTTTTACAGAAAGTGTTCTAATACTTTTGAAGTAGCTTTCTATGAAGAAGATTTCAAAAACATTATACTAATTCTATCTAAAAGCAAATCAATTAACTGTCTTATCAAAACTCTTCAAAGCAATACTAAAGCTACGTACTTCCTTTTTGCTCCCAAAACTTCTACTATTACCTAATACCTCTGTAGTATTTACTATATTAGCTTCATCTCTACAAACAATACCGAATACAATATCACTATTCCTAGCTTTATTATCTTCTCTGCAAACTCTAATAACAAAAAAACTAAGGTCTTTCTTCAAAACTTAGAATGAATTACTAAAAGTATCCTATCATCCCCTACACCAATTTTCTGCTAACACACCTGCTCAAAATGCTGGCTTGTTATCAGATGCAAACTTACTAACAATAACTACAGACTAGCTAATGATGCTACATTTCATGAAAATGAAACATACTATTATACTTGTTTTCTAAATAATACTATTAACTCTTCCTCTTCTACTAATCTTAGCTCTACATTCTTAGCAACTTATGACCTTTCTTCTACTAGAAAAAACTTAATCTCTACTTTCAAAAAGTAGCAACAACTCCAAAATCTACATTTTTTATGCTAACTTCTCTTATACTAACAATTAATACTAGTATTTCTTAACTACCCATTATTACTACTACTACAATTATAAAAGAAATTTCATCAAATATAGAAATTGAATTTTCTCCTTCTGCAAAAAACAAACAAACTAAAAACCAAACCTCATCAACAAACCCAAATAGTATAGAAATAGACTTACCCAAAACACAAACTTCAAAAAAAAATAATACTAACAATAGACTAACTCAACCTATACAAAACAAAACTCTAACTTATGCAAACACTTTATCTAAAGACCTACTAAAACCTTATACTAAAACTAACAAATCTAAACCAAACCTAGTTTATAACTAGCTTGCTAACTTCTGAATCACAGAAGAAATGAAACCTAATACCAAACTCTAAACTAAGCTATCATTCTAACTTTTTAACTTCCTCAAAGAAAATCTTTCTAACTTTACTCCTGAATAAATATTCTTTAAATACTTTATTTGCATAATAGCTAACCAAAGACCTGAGTTTCTGACAGACCTCATCTACTAAGCAAATCCAGAAA